TAAGTGCCAAAGACGACCTCGTGAATGGATCCCCTGGGATGGAGTCGGTGTAAAATACTCGTTGTTTTAGAACTATGGCCACGGAGTGGACTTTAATGATAGCGGAAGTGGATGGGAAGCCCCAACCTAGCTGAGTCGTCATTTACTTATTTGCCCAAATCAATCATGACCTCATCCACTGGCTCAACGTGGAGCCAGCACCATAAGTAGACAGATGCCCTGGAGTAAGGGGGGTGAGCACATTAGATAGGGAACCTGCAGCGCAAAAACGGGTTACAGGAAAGAGGAGTTTTTGTCGGTATTGAAACCATTATCACCATAGGGACCGTGAGGACAGTTAGATTGCCAGACCAAAGAGTGCTCGCCAGTAAGTGTATCTGAGGTGATTAGGTCCCAAGCTGTGGCAAGGGCCTTGGCTTGCAAGGCAAGATGCCAGCAGTGCCCGTAGGAGGTGGTACCACTCAGGCTGGACCAGAGCAGGCTTCGAATGTTTTGAACAGCGATCAAGTTCGTATGGTGATGAGCAGCTCGACCATAGGTTGGCTTGAGGGTTAGCGTAGTGATGAACTTGCGACGAAGTCCATATTCATCCCGGAGTCTTTTCGACCTCTGCGTGGAACTCACGTCCTCTATCCATGATAACCTCAGCAGGCCATGGATACCGAGTAAGCCACGTTTGTTCTAGAGATGGCTACTTCGTCTGCTGCCTTGGACAGATCTCTGCAATCTCGAACCATCCGGTTAGGATCAACATTGTCAAGCAATGAAGTGTGCAGGAATTCTTTTTCTTAGATCCCCGACGTTGTAAGGGACCTATCAGGTCAATACATAGTCTTTCCCAAGGGATCTCCTCGCAAGTCTTTGGGCATCAATCCCAGCTTACGCGTCTTGGGTTTGTTCATCGGCAGCTCTGGCAACGCTGACATACGGCCTGCACAGCTTGTGCAGTCCTTTCCAGGTGTAGTGTTGGCTGATGGTAGTTCTGTGCGAGTCTCGCCAGGATGCATCAGTACACCATGGTACCATTCGACTAGCTCTTCTGCATGTCTTAGGTACGACGATCTTGTCGTCCTTGACTACTAAGTCGTAAGACTTATCCCTCTGGGAAAGATTGCTTCTTGTAGTCGTTTGGCTTTTCCCTGAGGAGTTTCTTGATATCGTTGTCGTCCTTCTGACGATGTTCGATCCGGGGAACGAGAGAGGGAACTCGCTAGGAAAGTCCTCTTCGTCTGCAGCCATGAGCTCAGCGATCTCGCTGGCTTCCATCTGTTCTGAAGAACATCATTGTTGGAGATGTTAAGTCTCGACAACGCATCAGCGACGATGTTTGTTCGCCCTTGATGTACCGTAGTTCAGGGCCGTATTCTCCAGAATAAGGCGCCATCGCATTACGCGATCGGTATGAAGTTCTTACAGTAAGATTCTTGTGGTCCGTATGTACAACATCTTCTGTCCTAGAAGAATGTTACGGAACTCTTTCAGAGTTTCTACGATACTGAGAAGTTCCTTCTCGTTAACGGTGTAGCGTGTCTGAGAGGGTTGAGCTTCCTGCTGTAGAACGCGAAGGTTTTCCCTTCTGGGAAATTACTGCACCTAGTTGAGTTTCACTCGCATCCGTGTGGATAACGAATGTATCGTTGAAGTCAGGGTAAGCGAGCAAGTTTCTTTGCTGATGATCTTCTCATCTGGCTAAAGGCCTTGGCGGTTCGGCTTCCCATTTCCATTTCGTTGTTTTGGAAGTCAACGAAGCGAGTGGAGCCAGTACATGTGATCGTCTAATCCACATGTCTCATAGTATTCACTAGTCCAATGAATCTAGGAGTTCTTTTCTGTTAGTAGGAGGAGCGATATCTGGATCGCGTCTATTTTCTTGGTTATAGGTTGGATCCCTTCTCGAGTAATCCAGTAACCTAAGTATTCAAGTTCTCCTCTTGCGAAGAAGGCTTGGTAGCATTGATCTTAAGTCCGGCTTCTCGAAGCCTTCGGAGAACTTCATCAACTTTTCAACGTGATCCGCCAGATCGCCGTTAGTTAGGATGAGTAGATCATCAATGTATCACGGACGTATTCTAGGTCGTGCATTAGTGTTCCCATCTTCTCTTGGAAGATGTCGGGACTATTACATAGCCCATTGGCAACCTCTGGTATCGTACTTTCCCAGGGAGTACGATGTACAGAGTTGTTCGAGTGAGGTAAGCTCGATGTGATAGTATCCATGTTCAGGTCTAGACTAGTGCGTACTTGAATCCGTCTAGGTCAAGAGCATGTCCTGTATTTTTGGGATAGGATAAGGCTTCCGCTTAATCCTTTTGTTAGTTCCCGGAAATCAGAGATGAATCGTACAGTATCCATCTTTGGGAATGATAAAGTTGTGCCGCCATCGAACGGTTACCTTCTTGATTACTCCTGCCTCGAGAGACGTTCAACCTCCTCTTAAGAGTGTTGGTATGGACACGTGAATAGGATAAGCCCTAGCATAATAGGGTTTAGCGTCAGGGAGAAGTTTTACTTTCGTAGTCGTCCATCTGCCACTTTCCAAAGTACCATCGAATAGGTCAGAGTACTTCATTAATAAGGAATGAAGCTGTTCCTGTCTTCCTTATTCAACTGATTTTGACTTTGGCAACCTGCCTTAAGTCAGCTTGTTCGTATTTCGCATCAAGATCTTCTTGAGACGATCTGCACTGTCATCAAAGCGTAGGATCAGGAATAAGAAATTCTCTTCTTCATGGTGTCGCTATCTTTCATAGGAATAGATATGCGGTCCCACTCCACTGACATGGTAGTGAAATCGAAATTAAATCCTAAGTCAGAGAGAATGTCTCGACCTATGATCATGTCATACCCCCAAGCTCTTGGTGACGTGATCCCATTCGATAATTCTATCATCGTGGAATTCAGGAATCATGAATGCACCTTTGCACTTCGTGCTGGTGTTAAATCTCCTGCAGGGTAGTCCACATGGTTTGGCGCCCCCAGTTCCTTCATGCGTAATTTCTAGCATGAGTTGAGCAATCAAAGGTTCCGGATGCTCCTGTATCCAGTAAACAACGGAGTGTAACGGGTTTTGGTTTCCCTTTTCTCGCTTGTTAAATCTAACATAGACGATGGTTTGAGGTCTCTTGTCTGCGACGTTTACGAGGTGGTTGGCCACGGACGAGGTTAACGATGCTAAATAGATCATCAGAGTCTAGTTGAGCAGCTTCTAGGCAATCATCTAATTTGCCGTAGAGTTCATCGGTTGCAAACAATTCTTGTTTACTAGTTAGTGAGATATCTTCATCACTTTGGTATGAGAAATCGGAACATGGTTCCGTTGAGTCATCATCCTGGCCTAATCCTCAGATAGAGATTTCTCCATCCAAGTGATTGAAATCGATAGAGGGGTTGTCCTCGTTATCAGAGTCTTCTGATTTGCGCTTGGCAACATGGTTGCGAAGTTTGCAGGTGGTTGCACGAGTATCGTCGATCTCGGTGTCTTCGTCATTGTCGACGAGAGGAAGAATGGGTTTGTCACGCAACTGTTTCTCGAAGTTGCTGAACGCATGCTTTCCTTGAGCAATCTTCATGGTGAAGGAATAGGTTGAGGGTAGCTGAAAGCTATTGTGTTTGTTAACAAAATGCACTACGCTAAAAGCTAGTGTAAAGATCTTTCGAGTGTTTTGAGTTTGAGAGAATGAAAGTTATGAGAGAGATTAGAAAGCTATGAAAACTAATCAACGAGAGAGATCACCATCAAAGGATCGTAGATCTGGTCTCCCGCGGGAGACTATAAAGTGTGATAGAGTAGGTTGCAGTAGTAATCCTACGTATCTCCACGATCCTAAAACGGAACGAGTGGAAGATTCGTCTAGCATGGATCTAGTAGCGTGGAAGTACTCCACGCTGGCTAAGTATCTAGAGCGATGTTTCATCATCAACCTAGTATGACTAGAGCGGTCATTGAGAACCCTGTCTCAAATGACTATTCACGAGAGACTCAGTCATGAGTCGAACTCAAACCCTATCTAGGATCGAGTCGCGAATAAGGCTAGGAGCCGTGTATTGCACTAAGTAACCGAAAGGGCACGACTGGGTTGGCAAGGTCGTGGCTGTATGTTATCATGCATGCTACCTTACAAATCAGGAGCTCGTCGGATCCGGTTGGATGACCTCACCTTCCGAAACTGCTGAATTACTACCAAAGCTTTAACCAGCGACGTCACGATTTTATATGCCAAACACGTGGAATGGTATGGTAGGGGTGCTCCCGTTTTCGCGCTACCTAAAAATGCGCTTCTTCGATGAACAAGAACTTGCTACCAACCGGTCCTGCTCTCTCAGCCAGCCGTGCTTTCAGAACGAAACTGAGAACACAAACTCGACACGGTGAAAAGCTCTCTCTGAAAAGCTCCGTCCCGAAGCTGGGTTGTTCGAGAGCTGAAAATTGACGCCGCAGATCAAATTAAAAAGTTGACACCAACAGAAAAATTCTGTGCACCTCTTCTGCAGTTCTACTTTGTGTTTGTTATCTCATTACTGACCAACACCATGCTGACCGTTCACTCCAAGTTTGTGGATGAGGAAGCCAAAAGGCGCAAGAAGATTGCCAAGATGTGGGCTCCTGCTATCCCTTACTTCCCTGAGAGAAAGAAAAAGGGCAAGTCCTCCAAGGATGAGGAGGATGAGGACTCTACAAGCATGCGCACCTTCAGTGTCCCCTTGGACCCAGATGCCGGTGACGATGACGACAAAAAGAAGCAGTACTATACGGTCAAGCTTCCCGTCTTCGAAATGGGCGACACGCCAGAAGAATGGTGTGAATGGCGCTTCAACATTGACGACCTAGTCGAAACATTGGGATACAATAAGACGATTCAAATCGTCCATGTCCAGTGCAGCCTTCTCAAAGGCAAAAGCGCAGAGCTCTACCAAAGCTTCTACATCAAACGGTTCACCCAAGAGGTCACATCTGAGGACCAACAGAAGAAGGCCTTGAGCCAAGTCATGAACGACATGGCCTTGAAAATCTTCAACGATGGAGCTTCATGCGTAACAATCTATCCATGGGCAACCATGACCCCAAGATTTTTGGGGACCGTCTTCTTGAGAAGCTCAATGGATATTTAAAATATTTCCCCATTGACGATGTGGATATGGATCACCCACCCAACAAGAAACTTGATTGGGACAAACTGGTGGACATCCTGGATAATGCCAAACCGATTACCTGGCACCCAGAAATGCTTAGCCAGTGCACTACGCTAAAAGCTAATGTGAAGATCTTTCGAGTGTTTTGAGTTTGAGAGAATGAAAGTTATGAGAGAGATTAGAAAGCCACGAAAACTAATCCATGAAAGAGATCGTTGTGAAGCTCATTGAAGTTGGTCTCCCGCGGGAGGCCTCGAAGTGTGATATCGTAGGTTATGGTAATAACTCTACGTACTCCACGGTCCATTCCGGAACGCGTGGAAACTTCAGCTAGTTTCTGTCTAGTAGCGTGGAAGCTTTCCACGCTGGCTAAATATCTAGAGCGATGTTCCATCGACAACCTAGTATGACTAGCAGTCATGAGAACCCTGTCTCAGTGACTATTCGCGAAGGACTACGTCATGAGTCGAACTCAAACCCTATCTAGGATCGAGTCGCGAATAAGGCAAAGAGCCGTGTATTGCATTCGCCCCCTGACAAGGGTCACAGAAGGCACGACATCAGTCGGACAAGGAGAACATATGAATTAAAGTGCGGGGCACTCTCCGGAGATTGGATGTAGACATGTGCGTCACACGATGGCAATCCTACAAGGGGATCAGACCTCGTATGGGTGTAAATACCTTATGTTCCAAGTCTGGTAGACTGTGCCGCCATTGGCGGTAGCATGTCGGAGCCGTACAGTGCCATTGTCATTGACTCGGTCTATGTTGTAAGGACCTTTGTACTTTGGCTGACCGTACTTGCGGTGCTGATACTGTTGAATCATCACAGTATCGTTGACATTGTATTGATGAGGGACACGCGTCGCATTCTCCCTATCATTGTTTTTCTGGATAAGTCGTTGGCGACGTTCCTTGATGTATTTCCAGTTTGCTTCGAAACGGACGTTGTGAATCGCATCACGATTGAACATGAGCTGTGCAGGCGTTGCACGCAGGGTGGTATGAATCGTGGCATTCATTGCGAACCGAACCGCCGTGAGGACTCCATCCCAGGATCCATTCACGAGGTCGTCTTGACACTTGATATTCTGAACAGCTATCAAGTTACGAATGGTCTGATGAGCACGCTCGACCATCGAGTTGGCTTGAGGGTTACGTGTGGTAATGAACTTGCGACGAAGTCCATATTCATCCCGGAGAGTCTTCTCGACTTCTGCGCGGAACTCACGTTCTCTATCCATGATAACCTCAGCAGGCCATGGATACCGAGTAAGCCACGTCTGTTCTAGAACGATGGCTACTTCGTCTGCTGCTTTGGAGCAGATCTCAGCAATCTCGAACCATCCGGTTACGGGATCAATCATTGACAGGAGACATGTTAGTCTTGCTCGGAGCCAGGGGCTCTGTATCTACATAATCTAGATAGCTCATAATTTACCCAAACAGTCTACTAGATCTAGCTTAAGGCACACTGACACTGCACACATTGACCATGACAACAGCAGCGTACGGTCAACCCAGGAGCAGGCTGGATGGCTTTATCCTTCGGCGCATTCAAGAATCTGCCGCGCAACGATGGAGCATTCTTCATTACGAAAGCCACTGAAAACAGCAATATTGGTACTAGTACATGGGGTGATCAGTTTCATTGCAGTAATCGGAGTCAATTGTGTGTGTCCTTTTAAGAAGAGCCCAGCGTACTGCTAATTCCACCGATTCCCGAAGAAGACATGGACATGCTGTTTTACAGTCAAGATGACCAAGATAACATGATGGAGGATGCCGAAATGGTGGCCACAGGATGGATGAGTCAAGAAGATACCGTTCGTGGTTTGGAGCGATTCTTCCCTAAGGGACGCCTTTTCACCGAAGAACGACGACACATCCTCATTTCTGCTGTATTGGAAGAACAGCAACGACTTCAGGAAGAGTGCGATGTCTTTGACATGGATCAACAAAAAGTATTGGCCAAGTCTCTCGGCAACTATCGACCTATTGCCAAGACTTGGCCTATCAACGAGCCTACCAAGATGAATTGGAGAGTTTGCCACAACAAACAACAAAACAGCAAAAACAACAAGCACCACCTGGGCTGCTCTCTCGAGTGTCCACCATCGTCATGAATCCCACACAATAACCACAAGGGTTACAGTAGCTAGTACTTGTAATAAAAGCTATACAACATGCATTCATCAGATACAGAGGAATAGTTGCGCTGGCCTTTTGCTTTTGCTCTACAGTAGGCAGCCAAAGCATTTGACCTATAGTCTAGCTAGCTGGCTGCCTCTGTAGCTATGTAGCTGAAGGAACCAATAGTGGTCCACAAATGCATCTCATATCGCACCCGTCCCCTTCCACCACGTAAAAGTAGCCAGATGCAGTCTCCAATGCAGCTAGCTATGCAGCGAGTCGCTGCATAGTCCGACCCACGTTTTTGTTTAGAGATACCGGTAGTTAGCTACATCATAGAGATACTGGTACTTGGCGGCATCAGATACACCATCCGAAAGAAGGCAGATACAAGCTCGAGACCCCCCTCCACGCAGCACGAAGAAGGAGGACCGATTAGTCATGTTTACTATAGCAAATACAGTACTATACTACCTCTGTAGCGTGCAAATACAAATCCTACACGGCTGTAGAAAGCCTACGTGCAAAGTACATACGTAGTGCACGTAGGCTTTATACACGGCTGTAGAAAGACTGACGTGCAATACGTATGTAGTCCTCTACACGTTTGCACGTAGAGGCGCACGACTGACGTCATTCGAATGACGTCATCTATCGCATCGCGGCACACCCAGTTTTAAGATAACAAAGTTTTGCTTACCACCCTTGTTTTAAGATACTTCGAAAGCGTACGTACCGTACCTACATGTACTTTTACATAATCCCCTCTGGAGTGCATTTGACTGGTGACTTTTACGGGTACCACAACTCAAAACATGTGCAACTAGATGCTCTTGCCAGACTAGCTTAACCCTCCTCCTTCTCCCCTCTGGAGCCCCTTCAACTAATCACTTTTACGGGTACCACAAATCAAAACATGTGCAACTAGATGCTCTTGCCCAGACTAGCTTAACCCTCCTCCTTCTCCCTCTGGAGCCCCTTCAACTAATCACTTTTACGGGTACCACAACTCAAAACATGTGCAACTAGATGCTCTTGCCCAGACTAGCTTAACCCTCCTCCTTCTCCCCTCTGGAGCCCCTTCAACTAATCACTTTTACGGTACCGCATCAGGTAGAAGTAGTACCAGTACAAGAGTATGTCTGACAATATGAAATCCTAATAGCAAAAAATATGTATAATCCTCATTGGCGAAACTTGAACAGCTTTCTGGGATTGGCTGCCTCCGTGGATCCACAGAAACGGGCTTCACCATCAACATCGTGATTGGTCGTATGGCCGGCCGGGCGCACCAAAGCAAAGAACCTTGTCCCACCAACAGCCAATTGGATGGTTGCCTTGCTTCCAGTTGATGGAGTGCCAAACCAAACTCGACGTTGGGCCTAAACCATCCCAGGAAATTCCGGGTCTTCATTGAGGTTAGTTCGCTTCATGGATGTGTAGGAGGGGGGGAATGTGCAGCAGCGTATTGTTAAGCAATCAGATGTATTCTAAACCTCGACCGTCGCTGGTTCCAATGCCTCATCATCAGAAGAGACTGCTGATTCTGCCATGCCCTCGTCGTAGACCTCATCCCCCTGGTTGATACTGTCTAGCACTTGAGCATTGTTACCTGCTGGCGGTTCATCAATGGAGTGGAGGGCCATGGCTTCACCACTCGTGGATGCAATGCTTGTGCGAGCGGGTGACATCATGACAAAGTATGTCTGCATTTCTCCTTTGCCCTTGGCAGTGATCTTTTCGTCTCGGAGTTTCAGCCAGCTTGACTTGCCCGCTTTGGTAAGTTCATCGGCAGTGGCCTGAGAGACATGAATCATCCCAGCCTTGCCATTGCTTTCCATCCGGGCCGCCGTGTTGACAGTGTCGCCAAACAACTGAAATCGACCCTTCTCGCCACGCAGTACACCGGCTGTGACAGGGCCACTGCATTGTTGACAAGACAAGAGGCGAGATAAAGTGAGTGACGGATTTGAGATCGTGATATCTATCTAACTGTAAAGCCGCCCTCATGTCCGTGCGTACCTGTGAACCCCAGCTCGCATATCCAAGTCCAGAGTGGCCGCTCCCAAAGTGCCCACCAGGTCTTGGAGTACTTGCCTCATTCGTGTCAAACAATCTCTGGCAAACTTCACCATGATGACAGCATGATCCGCTTGAGGATTCGGAATGCCTGCAATGATGGAGGCAAAGATTGGGGACGAGACCATGGTGGAAGTAGAAAGTCAGGGCTCCATCCTTCGGCTAGCAACAACAAAGACTCATACGCAACTAACTCACCTGTAACGGCAACGTAGCAATCTCCAATCGTCTCGACTTTGAACACTCTACGACGCTTCGCAATCTTCAGGATACAGGCAGAACAAGCAATCAGTATTAGTCAGATAGACGAAGACACAAAGAATAGATCCAAAGACAAAGAGGACAGAACAGCCCAAGTAACAAGCCCCCCTCCTGTACTCTAGCTCTACTCACCACATCAAACGCTCCATAGAGTGCTTCCAAGAGTTCAAACACTTCAATGGGCGTCCTGGAACTGCTCCAACTGGTAAATCCCACAATATCGGCAAAAAAGACTGATGTGGAATCGAATAAGTCGGCAATGGGTTTGCCCGCGGTCGGCGACAAGGTCGTTGTGGAAGAATCTGCCGTTAGGTCCGATGCACCTGCGGCGGCGGAGGACAGTTTGGTCTTGGGTTGTTGCTGATGTTCTTGGGCAGGCTGATGTTCTTCGTAGAGCTGATTTCGTACTTGTTCGGGAAAGAGCGAATTGACGATAGCGCCCGATGCTTCGGCACGGTGCTTCACAATCTGTTGGCGCCGGGCCACATACAAGTCGTACAACAAAAACACGGCCGATGTAAAGAGAAAGATGACAAAGGCACCGACCGCCAAAAAGATGGGTTTGGAGGTGACGTATCGATCTTGCATGGCTTGGGACGGGTAGACAGTAACCGAGTAAACACAGGATTCGGTATCGAGAGGCAGACCGGTGTAGACTTTGGCAACTTGCCCGGAGAGATCGGGAAGACGAGCCGTTCGTCCCATGTGACTGTACTTGGGGTCATGATGGTCACCAATCCCCATGTACGTGGTTTCGGCACCATCCACTTGATACGTAAAGACTTGATCGCACGTGTTTTGAAAGACGACCACAATGCCCTTGGAGTTGGGAGGCAAAATATCTCGGACGAGGTCGCGAACATAATAGGCAAAAGAGAGGACTCCCACGGCCGGTTCGACGGTAGAAGTATCAATCTGGACCTTGTCGACGGCATTCAACATGGGATAGATGAGTTCAAAGTATGGTTCGGTGGGATCTTCTTCCGTCGAGATATAGTTTTCCGCCCAGGCACTGAGGAGTTCGGCATTGTAAACTTGGTATTCATCGTTGGGATCAAAGGCTTGATTGACGACTCCCGTCATGGTGACAGTCTTGGTGTGCATTGCATGGGTAAAGGGAACGGCATAATCGGGATACCCCATGGCATTCCAGTTGTACGGAGGATAGTAAGGATCAGGAACGGAAGGATAATGCTGGAAACTGGGGAGATAGTAGTTGGAGGTATCATTGTAGGGAACCACTTCGGGCAGGAACTCGTCATTGTAGTTGAACAGAAAGTTGCTGGTGGAGTACTCGTCGTCGACAATGGGACCGTGGTAGTTGGGGTCATCGACTTGAACTTGTTGAATGTTCTCCTCGAGCCAGTACGTGTTGGTGGCGTCACTGGTATAGTTTTCCCAATCGACGCGTTCGTCGTTGGCGACCTTGATGTACGTGCCCATGTAGAAAAACGCGGACGAACTGAGGACCTTGGCGGCTTGGACTCCAAAGTCGGGGATCGTGACAAACGGAAATTGGTTGGAAGATGCTTTGGCATAGGAGATCATCTTGAAGACAAACGAATCAGCGGCTCCCAATGTGAGATCGAGATGCAACCCCAACGATTCAAACACTTTGAAGGAGTCACTTTCAAACTGCGATTCAAACTCATTGGTTTCCTTGGCGGACGTGTAGAGATAGAGGACCACCGACACGACAATGGCGGAAACGACCAAGACGGCCAACAGCACGAGACGCAAGCAGCTGACCGCCTTTTGCTCCTTTTGAGCAATCTTTTCGCGTTGCTCGGTCACAGAAGGAAGGTGGTCATTCGCCGCACAGGTGGTACTCTCCTCAATGGCAGCTTGTTCCATATCATCAAACGTCGTCATGGTTAGTGGAAGTAACAAGTCTTTTTGGTTGGTGGCAAAACGGTGTGGAGGTAGTATTATGAAGATAGATAGATAGATAGACTGGTTCGGGATGAGATTGTGCGAGGATGGAAGGAAAATGGAATGCAAAAAAGCCACACACAACCCTTGGCAAGATCAGAGTGGCAGTCGCGTGTTTTGCTCTTGAAGTTGCATACATACATGTAGTAGTTTTAGTTGCATTGAAAGCAGGACCAAGCAGGTTGCTAAACGCGGCAACTAACCAACCAATCAACCAATAAAGCGCGGATCATGGACCAACTGCAAGACTTCTCTTTCGGGACAATAGTGAATGACAGAAGTTGAAGGAAAGTCCCTTAAGACCACCAAGACGCCAATTTGGTTTTGGAGAGGTGGAGTCTTTACTGCCAATGAACTGTACTAATTCCACAAAAGTGAACATTCTGCAAGGCGACAGAGGCTGCACTGGGAGTTCACTCACTGGGTAGCTTCGGAGCTGCTGCAGCTAGCTAGACCACCTGTGGCTTGGAGGTTGGAACCGCAACGTGTTTTTAGCGTTTTAGCGTCGCATTTTAAACGCTACGCTAGCCCCAAGCGTTTGGGTTTATTTGCGTGTTTGTGTATACACATACATTAACAGCGTTTTTGGCATTTTGTTCAGCGTTTTTCTCTGTTTTCAGTGTTACTCTATGCAGATTCCACTTACAATCACATAAGGATGAACAATCTGGATGGTGGTTCTGGTGGTTACTTTGGTAGCACTCTATTTGTAGTGCACCAATACTGCAAAAACGCTACCAAAAACGGTAACAAACGCTAATAAATCGCTAACAAAAACGCTGAGATCATCGTCATAAAAAATGCTAAAAAACGCATAATAACACATGCTAAGGGGACCTGTTAGCACACTACGCTTGCCCCTAGCGTTTGCGGTTCCATCCTCTACCAGTGAGTGGCAGTGGCAGTGTGGCTAGCTCTGTGGCTACTGAAGTGAACTGGATCTCCACTTCTCAGCAGCTACTCTAGCTACCGGTACTGGGTTGTTCAAAGAGTTGTTCGAATTGGGCTCAAGGTCAGGTGTTCTTTAGGCTTTGCCCTTTCGTTAGAAAAAGAAGTTGACTTCGATCCAAACTGCCCTATAATTCTCGAAGAAGCATGCCTTCTGGTGATTCAAGAATGCGAACACGTGGTGGTCTTCGGTAGAAAAGAATTCAATTAAGTGGTTGATGCAGCAAGAGCGAGTTCCTGAAAATCAATGACCATGAATAATTCACTGGGAACATTGGCGTTCGTCAAGGTCATAAAAGTGTAAAAGTGGTCGTACAAAAAAGGAATTGCTACACCTGTAACGCTTGGCAATCATGGACGGGTTGCACGGGTACCGTAACTTCAAGAAAGTACATGCGTCACACAAAGACCACTGTACTCACAGCTGGATCACAACGAACACCACATCAAGACCTCGACCAATCGCAGGAGGAGGAAACTCCCATCGCAAGTACAGAGCACATACATCATCATTATGCATACTGTACTAGAAGCCTTCGACAACGGCGGCAGAGAAGACCAGCCCCCAGCATGGAGCAAAATATCTTGCTAGCTGGGAGTACTGTATCGCCTGGTTGCTGGCATGAGCGGGCAAATGTGATGCTTCCTGACATGCAGCTCGAGCCCTTTTCTCCTCCGGGTGCACAGGATGAACACTTCGGTTTCCTTCCGAGCTCTTATAAACCTCAGCCAGAAGTCTATAAAAAAGGGTGAACTTGACCTCTTCGGCTTGGTTCGAGACGAATCTCTGCGGCATGGAGGGCCTCGGGCATTGAAGATAATATGAAGCAAGAGAGTGCAGCCAGGAGCCAAGAATCCGGTGCCCCACGGTTCCGCGAGAGCTTCTTTTCGCTTCCACACTGATGGTTCCTCATGAACAATACTATAGCCACCTAGCCCGTGCCTTTCTTCAGCTCCCAGGTTTGCGTTATTGCTTCCGATGAAGTAACCACGTCGTACTGAAAGTTGGTTACCAACGCTGCCTACTCTAGCATGGGTCAATGATGGAGTTTTAAAAAGTATCATTGAATAATCTATCTGTACCTCTAGGTAGCTACTAGATCATACCGGTACCCACGGTCACCATGAATACCCTCAAAATCCCACCAGTACAATGAGAAAAGGCAGGGAGCGAAACATTCAATTCCTGTAGCCCAGTAGCGCAGCACGCAAAGTAGACCTTTGGGGTCTTACTAATCTATCTAGACCAGCCAAAGATAAGAACTCACCGGACGAGAATCAGTGCTAAAACAGTCATACTCCAATCTCTGATCTATACAGTACGAGCCAGCTACGAAGTTTTGATACTGTAATGATTATCTTATTATGGTTATCTTTGGAACAACCCCTGCATTTTTGAGAGGTTTTCTTGTTTTTGTGAGGCAACAGAATCTGCAAAAGACAGATCCACCCCATATAGTATGTAATTATTGATCCAATCAGTCAGCTTGGTTGAGGTGGTGAGGCCTCGAGGCATCAATTGATGCTGAGCTCCTTCCCAATCAACCAATCTAGCCTGATATTGCCAATAGAATGCCTTCTTAGAAAGCTCCGGCGGCAGCATGCTCCAAGTCTCCAGAGGCCATGACATCAAAGACACAGAGGTCCTTTTCATCTTCAGCCCAGTGTTCACAGACCCTCTCAGCAGTGGCCTTGGCGATGGACTCTCCTAGGCGACGGGCGGCACTCTTGGGGCCAGGAATGACACACTTCTGGGGGAACTGGGGTTCACGGTTGACCGAGAAAAGCTTGGCATCAGTGTCACGGACTACAGGACAAGAAGTGTAAGCTGGGTTGTGGGTTCTAAGAAAGAGCATCACGCATGGATGGAGAAATCAAACTTACCTTGCCACTCCTGTCCAAAATCATTGGCATCAGTAAAGACAGAGTTGTCGCGACCAACCCAGTCACCAGTGGGGAACTCTCCAAGAAGACCCTTGCTGTTTCCGTAGTGCTTCATATCAGCAGCATCCATCTTGACATTGACCCAGTCCTTGAAAGTTTGGATGACAATGTTCCTATCTTCTCCAAGGTGAGTGACGAATGTGTGCTTCTTGTTGTCATCAACAGAATAAGCCACAGTGTGGCCTCCAAGAGTGGCTGGCATGGAGGCCTGTCCAATGCCATTCAAAAAGTAGTTTCCATGAGAGCTGACTTGCAAGACATCATCTCCAATGCGCACGGCAGCAGCTTCAATGTAGGAGTATTGGTATCGGGCTGTGGTCCTGACATGGACATCCATGCCTTGGCCATTGTTGAAATCTGGGTTGGCAAGGAAGACAAGATCACACTGTCCATGGAAGTCATACCACTTCTTGTCCCAAGTTTGGATATGGGGATCACCAGCAATCTGCCCAGTGGTGGGGGGACTAGGTGAAGGACAAAAATCAGAGGTTTGGATGGTGTGGGGATACAGGCTGTCACATTCTTCCCAAAGCCACATGCTAGAATCATCCACACTGAGAGTATAGGTATCCGATGGCTGATCACAGTCAACACTTCCGATGTCGAACCAGACCCAATCGTCATCCGCCCCGTCACAGCTAGCAACACCAACAGGGGGTGTACCGTCTTTGCACAAGTGCCCCATGGCAGTCTTGGGAGCGTCGTTGATCACCCCATCACCATATTCTGCAGTGCTGCTACCACCGTTAACTTGGACGTTGATACTGCCAAAAAGTCCACGATAAGGGTTTCCTAGTGCTCCACTAGTATGCCGCATGAACACACGGAGATCTCCAGTAGGACTGATGCAGGTCGCGATCTCAAGGGCATTACCATGAGCAGTTCCAAGGATGGCCACAAGCACAGATGAGGGCAAAAGGATTTTGGATGAAAACTTCATGGTTGCAAAACAACAGAAAGAGGTGCTGCTTGGTTGGTTTTGATGAGCTGCTTTTGGCTGTGGAGGAATCTAAATTGTGAGCTTCTAAAATGATGCTTACCTTGGACTGCAATAATTGTTGCCGAAGTACCAGTGGTACCGGTGCGGTTGGCATTCAGACCATTTGTTGCCTGATGGCGCAGTCCCAGAAGAGCAGATGCAGGAATTTTCAACTCAACAATCCGTGACTATTTTCAGGTAGCCTGGAAATAATAGTAATCATTAATCGAACTTACATGCAATACAACCATGTTATGTTTACCTCATCTACGTTTCTTCTTGGCTTGATCACACAATTTTTGACTAATTGCGATCATTCACGCTTTGCCATTCCTGGGTGAAGCTGGTTGATAATTCAATTGTTCTGGGCCAACCTTTTTACCGCCGGTACATGTTGACCCGGTGGCTCCAACGGAAGGTTACAACCTAGTACCTATCGCACCGGTACCGGTGGCAGCATAACGTTAGGAGTAGCTACTGTACTGTTAGTAGTGAAGTATTTTTAAAAATAGTGGCGCGCGCCGGCGGCAAGATTTCAGCGAAATAAAATGTACCGGTGACATCATTCACGTTTCATATGCAGGACCGAGCGAGCACGTGGTGCACGCAAGCAATGGAAGCTTACAGACGTATAATAGTGTAGAGTTCCGTGGTTGGTGGGAGGCTTTTCAGTATGGTACCGTACGTAGACTGCTTACTTGGACTCCCAGTGTCGCAGCGAAATTGAACAAGTACCACCATGTTTGTATATATGAGTAGAAAGACCCAATGATGAATGGTGTCATTGGAAACTAGCTAGCTAGGGTAAAAAAGAAGTAAAATGACGCCCCTGTGCTGCCCGCCCAAGTGTGAAGAGATTCGCGACTGAAAGCTTTCGTGACACGCTTTCCACCCAAGGTCTTTGTGAAAAGGAAACCACAATGGCGATCACCAAGCGGCCACTTCCGCTCCCTTCCACACTACAGTATTGAAACCACTGTTGACATGCTACAATGGCGTTAGGAGCTTTCTGGTTGTTTGGAAGCAAGGGTAGAAGTAGAGAGCTCTGAAGGTCTGAAAGGAGCCTTTTGGCTGCAGTTGAGTGTGTAGCTGTTATCGCTGCTCCACGATGATAGACGTCGAGAAGTCTCTACTGTCTACATGTCAGTTCGAGCGTCCGCAGACAGCACGACAATGGTTTGTTCAGCTGGACGGAGATACCAGCAGGGAAAAAACAACGGCGTTGAACCATGGGAGATGAGAGGGGGGGTTCTTTGAGCGTAGGAAGAATGGGACTA